TTCTTTCTTTTGAGGACAAAGAGATAACCTTACAACTCCCTAGTTTTTCCGGGCTAAACTATAACCTTTCCCTAGCTTTTACACGGGATAAGCTAGAACCTTTCCCCTTTACAATAGGATAAAAGATGTAAACAAGAAAACCTCTCTAAGGTAGGTGTTTACAAGATTGAGCTCACAAGAACAAAATATTTACAAGAGAAAGATGAAATAAGAATGAAAAACTCTTCTCTTGTGTTTGATTGCTTGGATAGTTGTTCTCTTACTTCTTCAAGTGTCCTTAGCTTGTATTTATAGCTTGGAATGTGTTTGAAGTCATATCTAGCCGTTGGGGATGTTTTGGAGCCGTTTGGGAATGATTTTTCTGCAAAAATAGGCTGCCCAGAATGGGGGGAATCGGTACCCCTTCATAGGGAATCGATACCCCTTCATAATATTCAAATATTATGACCATTGGGCTGATGAACAGTGAGGGAATCGGTACCCCCTTGGGGGAATCGGTTCCCCTTTTACATAGTGGAATTTTTTATATACTGTTCAAATAGTAAATTACTATTCATAAAAACATTTTTTGTGCTCAATTTTAAATTAAAAGAACTTTGAATTATTTTTGTAAATTTTGAATAAATTCAATTAAGTCCAAATACATTTTGTAAATTCAATTCAAGTCCAAAAACCATTTTGCCTTAAATTGTTATATCGAAACATAGTTCAACAGGTTGGTCAGTCTGTTTCCTGTAAAAGTTCTTGTATGTCTTCCACTTTGATAAAATCATATAATGGTGTTCTATGGCATGCACGACTTGGCCATACATCTATGAGTACTTTGAATAAAAATGTCTCAATTACATAGCAGTTTGTCTAATATTGATCATGTTAAGAGTTGTGGTGTTTGTCCACTTGCTAAACAAAACCGTTTACCATTTCCTATGAGTGATTCTCGTGAGTCATCTGCATTCTCTCCTATTCATATTGATCTCTGGGGAGCGTATCGTGTCTCAATGCATAGTGGACATAGATACTTTTTAACTATTGTTGATGACCATACATGTATGACGTGGGTATTTCTACTTAGACTCAAAGCGATGCATTTATCACCCTTAAACAATTTTTTGCCTATGTTGGCAATCATTTTTCTGCTAAAATTAAAGCAGTGAGAAGTGATAATGGTTGGGAATTCTTTAGCACTGAAGGCAACACTTTTTTTCTGATCAAGGGATAATCCACCAAAAGTTCTTGTGTCCATACGCCCCAACAAAATGAGGTTGCTGAACGAAAACACCAACATCTACTTAATGTTGCTCGTACTATTAAATTTTAGTCCTTTGTTCCAACTAAGTTCTAGGGTGAGTGTATTCAAACTGCATGCTACATAGTTAACAGGTTGCCAACCAAGGTTCTTCAATGGAAAACACCATTCGAAATGTTGTATGGGAAAATGCCTAATCTTTCACACCTTAGAGTATTCGGATGTCTTTGTTATGCTATTATCCCTAACAATCATGACAAATTCTCCTTTAGATCAATCCCTTCTGTTTTTATGGGGTATTCCTTGGTTCAAAAAGGTTATGTTATTTTCAACTTGAGTTCCAAGTCCTTTTTTGTTAATAGGGATGTGGTATTTCATGAATCTATATTTCCTTTTCAGTTTCCAAAAAAAACTCTCCATTGTTTCCTATTTCAACCCTGCCTAGTGACCTTGATCGAGAATTTTTGCATATTCCAGTTGTGACCTCAAATGACTCACATAATGAGCAGTTACCTGTGCATGAGAATTTACCCGTACATGAATTTACAAATGACCTCAGAACTAGAAATAATGACCATATAGATTTTGGTCCAGCATGTCCAGTTTTTGACAATTTATGTCCTTCATCCTCTCGGTTATCGAGTCAGCCAATTATACCCAGTTCTTCTCTTTTGAGGCGTTCTACTCGGGTCACTAAACCACCTTCCTGGTTATCTAACTTTGTCCGTCTTCCGCAATCCTCTTCTACTTCACTGCAAGAAGGTACGACTTCATCCTTCAACCATACCTCCTCCTTTCATTTATCTTTACCACCTTTTGCTGCTTTTTTCCTTATCTTTAGTTGAACCTAAAACCTACCATGAGGCAGCCTGTGATGAACGTTGGGTAGAAGCTATGCAACATGAAATTCATGCTCTAGAGACAAATGGTACTTGGGCAATGGTTGATCTACCACCAAATAAATGACCCATTGGTTGCAAATGGGTATATCGGATCAAGTACAACTCTGATGGTTCGGTTGAAAGGTTCAAAGCCCGATTAGTTGCTAAGGGTTATAGCCAATGTGAAGGTATTGACTTCCATGATACTTTTTCACCTGTGGCAAAACAAGTTACTATTCGTACTGTCATTGCCATGGCTGCTATGTTCGGTTGGGAGCTCTATCAAATGGATGTTTTCAACGCCTTCCTACAAGGGGATCTTCATGAAGAAGTCTACATGACGCTGCCAGATGGTTTTCGCAACCAGGGGGAGTTTAGAGTATGCAAGTTGCTCAAGTCACTATATGGCTTGAAACAGGCATCTCGACAATGGAATTTAAAATTGACTGAGGCTCTTACTGCAGGTGGTTATGTGCAGAGTCTTTACGATTACTCGATGTTCACAAAACGAGAAGATGAAAAGTTGGTAATAATGTTGATCTATGTGGATGATCTTTTGATCATTGGCAACGATAGTGGAATGATAGAAGAATTAAAGACAATCCTGCACGGGAATTTTAAGATGAAAGATTTGAGGCAGCTCAAGTATTTCTTAGGCGTTGAAGTTGTACGAAATACAAAAGGAATTATTCTAAGCCAACGAAAATATGCCTTAGAACTCATTTTAGATTCTGGTTTGGGGAATGCACGTAGTGTTTCTACTCGTCTTGAACAGAATCAAAAACTCACATCATCTGAATATGACATGCACATTGAGCATCAATCTGATGAGCTCTTAGAAGATACTGGAATGTATCAAAGGCTAATTGGAAGGCTTCTTTACTTAACACATACTCGCCCGGACATAATGTATGATGTTCAACTTTTAAGTCAGTTCATGCAAACTCCAAAGAAAGTCTATTATGAAGCAGCTATGCGTGTTGTGAGGTATATACGAAAAAGTCCAGGTGAGGGTATTCTGTTTTCAAGCAAAAGTAGACCTAACTTGGTAGCATTTTGTGATTCTGACTGGGCTGCTTGTCCAATGTCAAGACGTTCTGTTACTGGCTATTGCGTTAAGTTGGGAGATTCTCTCATTTTGTGATTCTAACTCGTATGATTGAACGTGTCATGTTTTGGTATTTTTGAAAATTTATTTAAAAAATAAAAAATTTATTAGGAAAAAAAAATCAAACAGTCGCCCGCGTCCCCCCTCTCCCCCTTTTTTCCCCTTTCCCCTTCCCCTTCCCCTTGTCGTCGGCCGGCCATCCGTGACCGTCACCGCCACCTTCATCAGCACCAATGTCCACCCTCGTTGGTATTCGTCGTAAAGTACCACCGTTTTCCGTAGAGAAGTGTTCAAAGGGTCCTCGATTTTAAGCCATTGTTACCATTTTCGTCGATTCTGGTTGTTTCTGTCGTCTATAAGCCACACCGCCACCACCATTCGAATCATCATACAATTCCGATCAAAACTCAAGTGCTCGATGATGATGGTGCCCGAAAATGACCGTCGATGGTTGGTAACGAGGTTGAAATGAGATGTTTTAGTTTTTTAGATTTTTTTATAATTTCATTAAAAGTTTTGGTTTTCTTTAAAGTTTTTTAAACAATATTTTTATTATTAAAATTTAAAATAAAAATAAAAATATAATGATAGGCACCTAAAAGTATAACTGAAAAACGTTAGACACCTATTTTTAGCAAAAATTTCTTTAGGCACCAAAATGTTTTTCGAGACATTATTTAGACACTTATTTTTGTATTAAATCTATTATTAATAATTTCAGGTTTAATATAAAAATAAGTGTCTAAACTAAATTATTTTTCCCATTTAGGTGCTTAAATTATTTTTCGGCCAATCTAGATATCTATCGTTATAAATATTACCATTTTAAGTGTCTCGACCGTGACGATCGTTAAAAAATCATATTAAGTGACACGTGTCATATTTTATTAATTTTAAATATTTTATTTTTTCTAAAAAATATCAAAAAAATATTATATTTAAAATATTTTTTTATTCAAAAAAATCCTCTTACGCTCTCCCATCTCCTTTCTCTCCTCACTTTCACCCACTGTACCCAGTTCTCTTTTATCTAATATTAACATTTGATGATGGCATGTTACTGATGGTGATTTTGTCATATACGAAAGTTCAGTCGATGATACTGAAGAAAAAGGTTGGTGGCTGATGTGAGTATATAAATTGAAAAAAAAAATTCAAAGTTTTGGAATTTTTATAAAATTTTTCAAAAATTTTGAGGTTTTTTTTGTGAAAAAGTATACTTTTTTATTTTAAATAATTTTTTTAAATTACTAGAATGTGACATATGTCTCTTAACGAAATTACCGTCACGATCAGAACATTTAAAATGATATCATTCGTAACAGTAAGTACCTAAATTGACCGAAAAATAATTTAGACACGTAAATGAAAAAAATAATATAATTTAGACACTTATTTTTATATTAAGTAATAATTTAATTTAAAATTTTAAAAATTTAATATATCATTTTTTGAATTGTTCGCGAGTTTTTAAAATAAAATTTTAAGTAATTCACTTCGTCTCGTTAATAATTCGAATCGAATTCAAATTCGAACTAAAATCCAACTTATTTAATTCAAAAATTGACCAAATTTTAACTAATACGATCTTAAATAACTCGTGATCTATCTATCTAATTTACATCCCAAAGTCTTTTAGTGTAATTTAAATAGATATTTTTATGTTTTTGTTTTTCCTTTCAATTCTTCATAGCGTCTTCCTGGTTTATCTACCACTAATTGGAACAAAAAAAAAACTCTCACGCATACATGATAATCTCAAAAATCCCAATTCAATCCTCAATTTCCTTAATCATTTATGAACCCTTAAAACCGGCCATCTTTTCCCACCCCAAATTCCCTTTTAATTCATTATCTTTCTCAGTACCATGGCTGCTACTGCTCTTAGATCGAAACCTTCCGTTGAAACAGCCTCTTTAACGGTCTCTCGGTTCAGACACTTCATATCTAATTATATGCACTATGGTCGCATTGTTAGCTCCTCTTACTGTTGCGCCAACCGTGCCAAATGGGACCGATACTTTGTCAACACTCCTTATCACTTCACTTCTTTCAAGCCCGTCTCGCTTCGCGCCCAACTCCTCGACAAGGGTTCCAATTTATTGGAAATTACTAGGAATTCCCACGTTTTAAATAAGGGTTTCGATAGACAAGTGAAAGAGAAATCGGGTTATGATAATTCTACGGTCTTGAACTCTAATGGAGACCCACCGGAGGTTTGGCAGCCACCTGGAGATGGGGTTGCTATTCGGGTTAGTGGCGTGAGTTTGGGCCGTGGTGGTGGAGGAGCGGTTCCGGGTTCTGGAGGTGGGTTTCGACCGGGTTCAAAGGATGGTTGTTTTGGGGGAGCGAATTTGGGACATGATTTTCCGACTCCCAAGGAGATTTGTAAAGGCTTGGATCAGTTTGTGATTGGCCAGGAGAGGGCAAAAAAGGTGATGATTATCGGTGATTTTATTGCCGTTGGTGTTTTTAATTATTGTTGTTTTATTCCTTTTTAACAGGAAATGTGCATTAGTTTTCTCTATTGAAAGTAATTGAAGTACTTGGAAACTAGAAACTGCATTGTTTTGATTAGTTTTATAATGGTTTTTGATTGGTTTGAAATTCTGTTCATATCATCATCGTTTATTCTCTTGGTATTAAGCTGTTGAATATGCAATTCTCCTCTGACTGATAATGCACTCTTCTGCCTCTGGAGTATAACTTTTATCACTGATGAGGTGGTAAAGTTTGAATAATAGAACTGTTCTTAAAGCTGCTTAGGATGCAAACATCCTTCTACATTAGTTTTCTGGTAGCACTGTTCTTAAAGCTGCATAGGATGCAAACATCCTTCTGCGCTAGTTTTCTGTTCTAATATCATGCCATGAATCCAGGTTCTATCAGTGGCAGTTTACAACCACTATATGAGAATCTGCCATGAGTCATTACAGAAAAGGTTAGTTTAATGCCTTTGAGATATGCAGCTGTTTTCTAATTTGTTTCCTTTTTTCATTGCTACAGCTGTAAATTCATAGTGATAGATGGTTGAGGTAGTTAGTAGTTAGACATGTGGCTTTTCCCATGCGTGATAAAAGAGAAAAGGAAAGGACATATTTGAAGCAAAACACATGTAGCATATCGAAAATATTTGGATATGGTCTACGCTTATTAGTTGTGACAGTATGTAGTTATACCTGTATTGTCTAGTGAATAAGGATACTTTGAATTGAAATGTTAGTTTTCTAAAGTTGGTAGCTATATTTCTTCTATCGTGCAATGTTTTGTGTGTGCTTATGTGTATCTTAAGGAGAATGTCAGTTATTAATATGTCTCCTTGGTAAGCTAGGCCCACAGGAGATTCAGGTAGCACAATAGCAGATGTGCTAGATGATGATACAGTGGAACTGGAGAAAAGTAACATTCTTTTGATGGGTCCAACAGGGTCAGGTAAAAATGAGTATTTACTTCTATGTTTCCACGCTATGAGGTTTTCTTTGACTGAGTTGTAGGTTTATTAATTTTTCAGTGTTTTCCTCTTTCTTTTATCCATTTAAATGAGGTCAGATTCCGAATATTAGTTGACCTCCAGTTTTACCAATTATCTTTTAATACGATTGTTATTTAAAAAAAAATCTTTCCTCCTGCCAATTCTGGATTATCTTAGGTTATTTCAATATTTATTCGAATTGTAATCATTTCTTTTAGTCAATCAGGAGTCTCATATTTCCTTCTGATTTTATTTCAAGGACAGGGAAAACATTACTTGCCAAAACCTTGGCCCGTTTCGTGAATGTTCCTTTTGTTATTGCGGATGCAACTACCTTGACTCAGGCAAACTGCTGACTCTTTATTGTTGTTAAATGTCTTTGATAATTTCATGCTTAAATGAATCTATTTCCTCTTTAGCGGTTTGCTAAACATTACTGTTAATAAAAGTGTAATAACCTTTGTTGATCATGGCATTTTGTTTTGTTTTCTATTCTTTTGATGTCCTTTCAGGATTTTCTTGGTTTAGAACTGAATCATTTTATTGTACTTCGATGCATATTAACATTTAAAATAAACTGGGTTTTCCTTTTAATTGTACTGTCTTTGTTGCCGCCAAGTCTAGGATCTCTGAGCACTACTATTTAATACCAATTCTTGATGCTCTTGCTGAGTGTCCCCCCTCCATCGGATATCTCTTTGCCATGCATTAGCCATATAGAAAATCATAATAAATTTAAATTCGTTTGGGATATTTTATCGATAAAGCCAAGAGTGAACTAATGTTTCCATATAGACAATCATAATACATTTGGTTTTATTTTCTAAGAAGCCCAATTCTTCTACAAGTGTATTTTTGATCCACCAGCAACCATATCATTTAAAGTTGTTGCTGTAACAAATCAGTCACTAATCTAATTACAGTCTAATAACTGGAAATAAATGAGCTAACTCCCACGTTGTGCACAACCTTTTGTTGATTGAATCATCTACTGCTGTTTTTGACTCGCGGCTTGACTTGCGGATTGAATCATTTAAAGTTTAGTGCTTCTTCGGCTTGACTTGCGGCCTATTCCTTTCCCCCTAGATTATTTAGATTCATGCTTTCCATGCCAAATGCATGATAATGGAAATTAAAGCCTCTCCCTTCAGTCTGCTAGCTGGCCCCTTAAATTCTGTTTGCCAATCCCCCACTGCATTTGGTAGCTGACGAAGTTGAAGAACATATGATTCCTTGCATTTTTCTCTGTATGACAGAATGCATCCATTCCCCTCGAGATAAGGCAATCCTTGGTGAGCACTTGGTTTAATATAGCCATCCAAGATATGAGGGAGTGCTTAGTTTCATGGAATGGGAAATATAAGAGCATATCTCACCTTGCCCTGCTTGTTCCTTAGCTCATTTTGGTCATCAAGTACTTTACTCCAGGGAACCTCCAAACTAGTGAGAAATCCTGCTTTGTGAACTGTTGATCCATATCCCTCTGTTGCTTAGCTTCTTCCAGTTCCAGCTACTTCCTTTTTTTACTTATACCTGCCATAAAATCTTCCTTTAAGCTAGTTTTAATCATAACTTGTCTGTTTATAAAATATTTACTCATTGATCATGCCACATTGTTTGAAATTTGGTTATTTGTATAATGATGAATGGAAATAAGTGTTGTTCTTATGCTATCTGCAGGCAGGGTATGTAGGTGAAGATGTTGAATCTATATTATACAAGCTGCTTGTGGTAAATTTCGAGAACTTTATTTATTCTGCATGAATTAAGAGCTTTGAAGTGCAAATATTTGTTCATTTCACATTATATTTTAATGGCATTTGTTTTGTATCTTTACAAAAGTTAGCTTTAGCTTTGCATTAGATAGGTCTTCGTGTGATAAACTTTAAAGTAGCTTTAGTAAAAATGAAAATTTTAGAGTAAATCCAAATTTCATGAGAAATTTGTTGCGATGTACTGTTATAGTTTTATGCCTTATGTTGATTAATTACCCTGTTCTGAATTTATGCACTTCTTTCCAGGTTGCTGACTATAATGTTGCAGCTGCACAGCAGGGCATTGTTTACATAGATGAAGTTGATAAGATCACTAAAAAGGTTTGTTCCATCTTATTTGCAAAATTCATTTGCCTTTTATTGTTCTTTATTTGTCTCTTACTTTGTACAATGCAGGCTGAGAGCCTTAATATTAGCAGGGATGTGTCTGGGGAGGGTGTTCAGCAGGCATTGCTAAAGATGCTAGAAGGAACAGTAAGTGCATGGTTTACTAACTGTGAAATATTATAAATGGCCATTTGAAGTTGTGGCACCATATTTTATGATTGCTTCCTTTGGTTGTAGATCAGCTCCATATCTGGTGAACTTGCAAATTGTTATGAATTCATAAGCCTTCTAATCGTCTATTGCAGTTAATATTTAATCAGTTTGTTGATTTAATAAGTGATTCACCATCATGATATATGGAGCTTTTTTGTTGATCCAGATTGTTAATGTTCCTGAAAAGGGTGCTAGAAAGCATCCTAGAGGTGAAAATATTCAGGTATGCACACTCAAGAGTTGTAACAGCATAGATGGCTTATTTATGTTACGTGATATGCAGACCACATGTATAAGTCTATAAGATATCCGTATTGCTGTTCCTTTTCCGAGATTTGATCAGGCCTTTATCATGGCAAAGTCTGTCTGATTTTGATGGGTCATGCAATTTTGTGCTCAATTCCCCCTCTATTTGTGACCGTTTTGTTGTTTTTGTTTGTTTGTTTTTGTTTTTGTTTTTATTTGATTTGATTTTTCCTTTTTCTTTTTCTTTTTCTTTTTTCTCTTTTTAACAGATTGACACAAAGGATATACTCTTTATATGCGGGGGTGCCTTTATCGACATAGAGAAAACAATCTCAGAAAGGTAAATTCCATGTAAAAATTACAATATTGGGACCCAAAAATTTTAACTACTGCTATATTTTAGCCAACATCGGTGAATGTTTCTTGAATGCATTTCAGACGTCAAGATTCTTCCATTGGTTTTGGAGCCCCGGTGCGTGCAAACATGAGAGCTGGTGGTGTTACAAATGCTGTTGTGACGTCATCTTTAATGGAAACTGTTAGTTTCTCTATAGCATTTGAGATGATATTTATTCATAAATAGCTTGGACGCAACATTTTAGATTCTCATCCTATATGAACCACTTCTGTTTTGACAGGTTGAAAGTAGTGATCTCATTTCATATGGTTTGATACCAGAATTTGTTGGACGGTTCCCGGTTATTGTCAGTTTGTTGGCTCTAACTGAAGAACAACTTGTTCAGGTGTGTTTTACTTTGGTTTTTGGCTCTTTAGTCTGCAAAGTACGTTCTTATTAGGTTATTAACAGGATGTTGAAGAATTGATAGATCACACTATTGCAGTCATAATTTTGAATTTTTATTAGGTTTCCTGAACAAAAAGTATATGTCTTACCTTAGTCTCTCTACAAATGTCTTTGAAAAAAATGGAACGGGAGATTAATGTCTAAGCAATATTTCTTTATTGTGGTCTTTGAAGATGCTACTATTGTTAGGCTAAAATATTTCTTTCTTGTACTAGTGATTTGATTGTTTAATCCGCTTTATATGTGATTCTTACTGGCACCAATTCTCATTTAGGTCCTAACAGAGCCAAAGAATGCCCTAGGCAAGCAATACAAAAAGATGTTCCAACTGAATGGAGTATGTATTTCATATGCCCCTATTTTTAAATGCCAATTCCTATATTTAAATTGCATGCAATTTTGCACAGCAATTGGTTTCATTTTGTTCTTCATTACCTCAGGTCAGACTGCATATTACAGAAAATGCTTTGAAATCAATTGCCAGAAAAGCTATAACTAAAAATACAGGAGCTCGGGGCTTAAGATCTATCTTGGAGAATATCTTAATGGATTCCATGTATGAGGTATGCTATGATGTACTATTCTTATTTTTGTCACCAGCTATTAAGACTAAGAGTGGAGAAATAGACCCTATCATCATGAGAAATGTGTTGGACGGATAGAACTATCGTATTTGGCATGTTTTATCCTTATATGAACCTCGGCACTACCATTCCTGTTCAGCCCTCTATGGCCCCACTCTGGTGGGATTGTAATTCTGTTTAACAACCTCTCTCCAATCGAGCACGCATTCTATGCTGAACTTCTTTGCCTTGTTAGCCAACCCAGTAGAATATTCGAGCTCTGCTCCAATACTTTCATGCAGGGCTGAGCATTATTTCATCATACTTGAAAGTCATACCTAACTGATTAGTTTTGATTACATTTGGTTTGGTTTGGAAGCTAAAAGATTTCAGTTTGGATTCAAAATCAAACCACAATAGAATTTTGGTTTCCGTTTGGCTTCATAATACTATGATACCAACCCAGCCAACCTAGAACCATATTAAAGATAAATGATAGAATTATAGTGTATTTGTTTAATATTTTTATTGCTTTATTTTGTGTTGATTTTGTTCTATCATAATAAAATGATTAAATTGTCATCGTTGACATTCTTGGTGAAATTTAATCAATTAAAAATCTGAAAAACATCTATCTAAAATCTACATTTAGAGTTTTCAATCTTTATCTATCATAAATGTAACATAATAAGAGATCAAAATTTTAAAATTTTGCCCCAATAGAAGTTCCGAATGTAACAATTTTATTGGAAAGGAGGGAGTACATAAATTTTTAGATTTATTAAAAAATATATATTAACTTTATTTAGTTTAAGATTACTTTGAGGGATACATATAATGACCATGAGTGAGAGTCCTTGTCTACACTAAAAGTATGTTTTTCCCCCTATGATTTAATGTACATTGTTTTAAGGCCAAACCCAAGTAAATTATCTCATCTGGTTTGATTTGGTTTTCATTGTAGTTTGGATTCAAATATCTTGAAACCAACATATTTTTGTTTGGTTTGATCTTTATTTAAAAGCCAATTCAAATCACATTATACCCACCTTTACTTTCATGGGCATAACATGGTGAAATACAATAGAAAGTCCCGGCTCTAGGTTTTGAAACATGAATCTCCGCCTAGATTGAAGTTAAAAGAGGGGGTCACTCAGATTGTATCTCTGAACCATGGGGTGACTCTTCAATTGCTTAATTGTTTGGGGCCAAATGCTTTTGGATACCATGCACAGCTTCAATTGTATGTATTTTCTTAACCCTATGCATGCAGATACCGGATGTTAGAAGTGGTGATGATATAATAGACGCAGTAGTAGTTGATGAGGAGGCCATTGGAAGTGGAGCGAAGATTCTTTACGGAAAAGGTGCATTTGATTGTTACCTTTCGCAACAAAAAGCGAACGAGTTGAAGGTGTGTATGAATTGCTCAACTTTGCAGTTTAGGTCGGTATTTATGTGTCAGTATATTGAAAACTATGTGTTGTCGCAGACAAGTGACAAGGAGCAGGCTGAGGGCGAGGTAGAAACGGAGCTTCTTCCTTCAGTTGTTGCCGGCATGTGATGTGATTATGATGATGAAGAATATGTAGATGTAACTTAATTGTACAATGTACATAATAAGCTGACACTAATTTTAGAGATGATTCATTTTACATGGATACATACCTGCATACAATTATTACCAGTCATATTATAAAGAATGTGCAGTTTTAATTCAACTTAGCATGTCCTAGTTTGCTGCGGGTTTGGTTTCATGACGTCTTAAATCGAAACTCTTCCTTTGTTTAACAATTACTCCATCCCTCGCATTCGAGTCGATGGGGTTGGAATATACTGTATCAACGGGGTTGATTGTAATGACTATGTAGACTGACGTACGAGCGAGCAGTGCTGATGAAGACGAGTCAGAAGGATTATTTATTCTTTGATTCTTTCTTTCTCCATTAATGGGGGGCTGATTGTATTGCATCGACGGACACTTTTTCCTTTGCTGATCAATCGTTCGGGCTCGATCTGTCTGAGACAATAGATACCCCCTACCAAACTCATAAATTGTGATATTAATCTTCCAAGGTTGTCGTATCAGATCTCGGAATTAGTTGTTAACTATTTTGTGTTTTTGGGCTTAATATGTGTTTGATTTATCTTATCTGTTCACTTCGTGCATTTTATCCAAGTCCATAATTGGTCAAGAACATATGGCATGTATCTAAAATGACGCTACACGCGATTAATCGAATATCATTCAACAATCGCGTAAAAGATAAAGAACATGGTTGCACGCCATACACGCGATGTAGCTAAAAGTGTTGCTCTTTGCTCTATTATTAACCAAATAAATTTAAGTTCATTTGGAAATGTTTAAATTCCATATCAATGAACAATGTGTTGAACACATAAAAGTTTTACATTAACACGGATTAAATTATAATTTAAATAATGATAATTTATTCATAAAAAAGAAGAAATTAAATTATCTAAAGATGAGAGGAAATGAGATTGAGACATCATTATGTGGATGAAGAAAAGACATTCGACATCACACCCATGAATGTAGAAGCATCATATACTTGCCAATAGTATTTGTGATTGGAGTGGTCGATCTGCAATATTTTTTTTTCTAAGACGGCCGATCTCTAACTGTACATGTCAACTTCTTTGAAATTCTCTAATCGTCGCAACCATATTAAATGCATTTGGTTACGGGACTTATCAGATATTAGGATCTCTCCAATGATCTTCAAAATGTTTGCTCAAACGAATGTATTTGCCTCATGTTTTGAGTAGTCATCCTCTAGTGTATCAAAATTTTGGTTAAACCATAACAAATGGATTCAATTGCCATTATAATTTTTGGGAGTTTTCCCAAGCAATTTTGACATATATCATATCATCTTCCAACACTTTTACTAATCACAACACGATTATCAACCGAGAGACCTCATTATAGTGCAACATCTTCAAGAGTGATTTTGTGTTTCTCATGCGAAAGATGGAAGATTTACGTTTTTGGTCTCTATCTCTCTATGAGTATTTAAATCAGTGCTAAGTTTAGCTTAAAACTCCCAACCAACTGATATACACATAAAAAGCTAACTTGATCTAAGTACTCAGTAATGTCATCAAGGGGAGCTCTACTCACAGGGTGAATAAATGGATTGAAGATACAACTATTCTCCCGTTAAATTTGAATAATTATACAAATTAATAATTAAAATTATATTAAAAAATAACAATGAACAGAAACATTGACAATATAATTAGTTTGCTTACTATCTATAAATATATTAAAATGTGTGTCACGTTTAATTATTGTATCTCTATTTTTGTACTGTCAATAAGTGTACAAGAAATAAAAAAATAAATAAATAAATATTAACATCATGTTTTGAGAATTTTACAATTTTTGAATGTTAAATGACATGCACAAAATATACACTAAAGAAATTAATCGGAGAGAAATGTTTATTTTTAAGATAAAATATATTATTATTATAGTAATTAAAACAAAAAATATATTAACTATGAGAATATAATAAATAAAAAATATTATAAAGTAACAATACAGACATTAAGTAATTCAATAAATAAATAAAATTAATAAATTTCATTGTTTTTGATGCATTAGAATATATATTATATGATAGTACAAAACTCATAACAATAAATTATTCGGAGTAAAAAATATATTTTTAACATAAAAATATTAATATTATATAATTAAAATAATAATAAATTTGTAAATACGATAAAAATTAAAGAAATATACCTTTAAAATATTTTTTCTTCTTTAAAATTTCGAAACTTTTTTTTTACTCATTTGGTGTGAAAAAGGAAGAGAACCGAAGGATGATTTATAGGGGAGAAAAACGTATTTTGATGAGCTCGTCTTCCTCCAAAAAAAATTAATTTTTAAATGAAAAGTGCGATTAAAAGAGCGCGCCTACGTGTTTTTAAAAGTTTTGTTATTAGTTTGAAGTGATTATAAAATAGTGTATATTTGAATAATAATTCATGTTTTATTTCACTAGTTAATCAAAAATAATAAAGGATTGGTTCAAGTAGTAAATTGTTTGATATCGTTTAAGCAAGTCTCGGGTTTAAAATTTTGTATATATAAAAAATTCTTGTTAGAAAACTCACCTACTAGAACTAAATATGCGACGTGATTGATCCAAATTAATTAGACCTGAAATTGGGAGAACAACCAAAAAGGAAAAAATCAATAATTTGACATGTCTTGCCATGTTAGGAAAATTTACAATCAATTGAATGTATTTTTATCGTACGTGATAAAAAAATTAAAGTCATTTCTTAAATTAATATTATTTTAATATTACTTTCGTAATTATATTTAAAGTGAATATTATTCCCCGTAAATAACACTGTGTTAAGCCATTCGGAAATTTGAAAATGTTTCCCGCAAGGCCGCAAAATGGTATTAAAGATACTAAAAGCAGCGGTAATTCAGTCTTTTAAGATGTAATAATTAATTATTTGGGTAAACTACAAAAATAGTCACTTAATATTTGAGTAATATTTTATTTTCCCTACTGAAGTTTTAAAACTAACGTTTTGATCACTAACGTATTAATTTTATAACAAATTGGTCACTTAACGTGGATAATGAAAAGCTGATATGATATATTAAATTAGTGATCTGACACCGTTTTACCACAAGCTTGACTCCCTACAATTTTTTAGAAGTGGTTTTCTTCTCTCTTCTTCTTCAAATGATGAATACCATACACAACCACCATGAAATATTACAGAGGACACGGTACAACAGCCGATGGCCAAAAATCACCCTGTGGAGCATCAACACCCTAAATGTGTAGGTATTAAATCCCCATTCAGGAGATGGACAATCAATGAAATTATCATAAAATTAAAAATCAACTGTAAAGATTTGCTTTTCTTTTCAAATGAAATGCTAATTAAGTAAGCCAAAAAGCTTTTATTGAAAAATGCAATGTATGATTCTTACTTTATAAATTTACTTTAAAAACTACAAAAGATTTTGGCGATAACTGATGTTGATTTCTTGCTTGGATTTTAGTAGCCTTGATTGTCTACCGTGAAACTACTAATGCTGGTACAATACCTACCATGGAAGTTGTTTCAAAAGTTTTAGGATGCTTGCTACTCCTTTGTTAGGGAGGATTGCAGAATTTATGTTAAAAGAGGCGAATTTTTAAAATTTTAGAGGATGGTAAACTTTTAAACTTTAGGGAAGACAAAAATAAATTATTAATAGAAAATACAGAGAAAAAATATAAAATATAAGATATTTTGAAAATTTTAATGGACGGTTGCCTCCACCTGCCCCTCATTCCATGTCTATCCCTTTGTGATGGTTCTGTGAGGAGTAGACTCGTTGAGAACCTTGAAGTTATTGTTGATCCATCAATATACACTAGCCTTGGTTCACTGATAAATGGATTTGGCTCATATGATCCTTGTGCTTTTTCAGTACTCGAGGTAAGTAATGCTCAACTGTAATTTACCTGTTCTTTGTACTCATGATTTGGAATTTGGAAATAGAGCTTATATCCCGCATGCATGTGTTATCTTGTTTTATAGGAGGAAGGGATGAAGTATAGAATTGTCCCGAGCCACCACTATCTCCTATTTTTTATTATTAAAATATATGAGTAAATATTAAATTACGACTCTAAATTTTAATTTATTTTGATTTTGTTCTTCATCTTCTATGATTAATTATATTTTATCTATTCATTTCTATGATTATTTATACTTTGTATCTTTTAAGTTGACATGTTGACTCCGTCCTAATAGAAGATTATTTCTTTCCGGATTGTTCCATGCATATCCTTTAAATAAAGTCCTATTGTTGTAGATGCAAGAGAGATGCAAATTAATACACGTGCATCTCTCCTCTGGTGTAATGTAATAAAAACCTCCATATCTTTAAGGAACTTACTTTTTCTTTGCCTACAATTAGGCTAACTGCTTCCTTATAAGAGTGCATTGGAAATTGGAAGTTTACTCCGAATTTGAATGTTTGAACTCGGCCTTCATAATTTCCTTTGATAGTCTATGTAGAAATTTGAGTTTATAACATATTTAGAGAGTTGATGCTCCACCAATTAAGGTGATTTTCGGCCATCAGCTATTTCATTGTGAGTTTTGTAACATTTTTTAATGGTGGTGTGTTATGGTATACTCATCACTTGAAGAAGAAGAAAAAGAGAAGAAAAAACACCAGTAAAATGTTTTGGGGAGTCAAACTTGTGATAAAATAGTGTCAGGTCACTAATTTAATGTGTCACGTAATCTTTTCATCACCCACATTAACATATGTTGACATTGAGTGACTGATTTGTTATAAATTGATAATATAAGTGACTAAATAGTTAATTTTGAAACTTCAATGAGAAAAACTAAAATTTACTAAAAAATAGTGATCATCAGTATAATTCATTATTAACCCATAAGAACTGAGTAAATAAAGAGTTAAACTTGGGTAGTGGGAGTAGCGAAGGAAGGCTGTGTAAAGGAAGGAAACATAGAATCAACGACGACGCTTCTTTTCTCCCATTCCTTAGTTCTTCAGGTACCGCCACTTTTAATTTCACATTTTTTTATTGAGTACTATGGATAGTTCTTTATTATGGATGGAGGAAGTATTCTCCATTCTAGGAATTGATGCTTTTGCTGGTTTTTTTGATAATTCTGTAGAATGTCTGGAATAATCG